TATATATATATATATATAGATATATATATGTATGTATACACATGTTTTTTAGACAAATAAAAAATCATATATAGCAAAATAAGAAATAATATATTGGTTTTTAAAAGAAAAAAATAAAATTTAATATTTTGACGATTTTTACGTGTATATATCTATTGATATTTATGTAATCTTAGCTTATATTTAAAATTATCTTAATTAAATTTGAACAGTCTTAAGATCCATCGAGTCTATACTATAAAATGATTGTAAAGCATTTCGAGACCATATTTAGGATGATTTTAAATATAAAATCGGAATACCGCTCCTTCCATTTAATTTAAAGTTTTATTTATCTCAATGTTTTTTTATATTGACATTTACATGTAGCGTAAAGTAAAATATCAATTTTTATTTGTTATTATAATAAATAGATTATTAAAAAAAGAATTAATAAAATAATCTCAAGTTTAAAATTTGTCGCGCAGTGAGAGAGAGAGTCTCTTAATTAGCAAACTGATGATTATTAATTTTTCAGATTTTATGAGGAAACTAAGAATGTTTTTAGTAGTGCGCGCTTTAATCTAGCAACACTAAAAAAAGTAATCTTGCAATTATAGCGAGAATTATTTAGGTACGAAAAATTAGCTAAAACGGATAAGTGATTAGTATAAGCACTGCTATACCACATATATTTTTTATTTAATCAATATAGATAACAGAGGTAAAAATTATATCTGAACTATTTGTCAAATTTAGCAAGAAAATTTCTCTATGACGTTTAATTAGTCCAGACTCCAATCATATATTTGATTATGAGACCTATATTTTCTTGCACTTAGAATATTGCTGCTATAATTTCTACGTATGACAAACAATTTTTTAGCAGATACAAAAAATAGCGATATAATTTAAGTGTAATATTTAGAATTCTAGCTGGAACAGCGAAACATTTCCCTGAGTGAAGGACACAATAAGCTTATTCTTTATAGCTGAACTAACTGCACTAGTTCACAGTTTATCTTTCTCTTTCTACATTAGAAGAAGAAAGATAAATTCTGAACTAGTACAGCAAATTTACTCGTATAAAGAACAGGTCTAATGTAACAGTGAATAATTTCACTTGTTTAACATTGGCAAACAAGGATGTAATGATTGATTGTGATACTGTATCCTTGCTGGAAAACTAAAAAAACAAGAAAAGAATAAACGTCTGCAGTTAGAAAAACGTTAATGTTTCGAAAGTGAGTTTGGAAACTTCCAGATGGCAGTAGCAATTGCCAAGCAATTTTCTCACGTGACTTCGAAGTGGAGATTATTTCCTCGAGAGATTTCGGAGATGCAATTGGTATACAATGACGTAGGAAATATTTCGTTACTAATTTTATGAACTAGAAAATGCCCCTACATTCACCATATGGATTTTGCGCATTTATGGTCGGTATTCTTGATGGTTGCGCGCGCATATCCGCAAAGTCCACGTTGCATATTCGCCAGTGACGTAGTTGAAAGTGAAACCAAAGAAGTGGAACCAAAGTAGATGGATACCGATTAACGTTTGTGATAATATTGCAACGTACATTTGATATTTGATTTTGTCTTGAATGCCTTATTGACAAGATATTAAAAACTGAGTATTAATTAAAATATCAATAACCTTGAATAAATTATCGTGACTATTCATATAGTATTAATAAGAATTCGGGGATCTAAAGGTAATTAATTAAAGAATATTATTGTATATTGTTAAATTTTTAATTACCAACGTAAATATCTAAATAATTATGTAACTTTCAACGCAGTGCTAATTCGTTATAATTTGTTATTGAATGTATGTTTCATAAAATAAAATGCATATTTACATTGCAGTAATGTCATATAACATATGACACATATATATTGTCACAAAATATTTTTGTACAATTACCATTTATATATAAATACTTAATAGTCCAACCCAGATAACGATAACAAAACAAAATTGCTATTTTGAATTAAAATTTTAAATATTGTCTAGTCTCAAATAAATAATGTATGTATGTATGTATGTATGTATATGTCTATTAAAAAATCAGATAAATTATATATAAAATTAGTATTTTGTAAGCTAACACCATCTAAATTTAAAAAATTACGCGATCTATAAAATAGTTGGTCTTTATAGTAGTAGTACTTTGTCGATGATGCGACGAACATTGGCCTAATGCTTTAATCTTGCTTTAAAAAAAAATTTTAACAAGATTTTGTTTTTTTAATGATGCTGATTAAGCTCTTTTGTGTCTACTTGGCCTATATCAAGCGAAGTGGTAACGGCGCGACGCCAAGTATATAATTTTATTTTTACTAAATAAATGGCGTTTTGAGAGACTCGCATTTGCTCGAGACGGGCCCCGTCTTTGACAGACACGGTCCTGCGACGTGCCGCCATCGTGCCCATCGTGGCGTGGCAGTCGAGTTGGCTGCCGCGCAGTAACATCGACGTCCACCATTACGCTAGGGAGTTAGATCGGGATACTAGGCGAGGAAGGAATCTAGAGATCGTCGTCCCGTTTCTTCAGGTTCCCCACCCACATCAGGTGGCCGCGGTGACGGCGGCGAGAAAGAAAAAAAAACTATTTAGTGATTTCGCGCCGCGCGATTTTGGACATTCCTGAATTTTCTGAGAGCACGCGACACGCGACATCGGAGAATTCGACGCGGATGGAGAGAGGCAACCCGTCGAAACCTGTGACGCTCCTCTCCAAGCAGAGCGTGATATGCAGAAATCTACTACCCATGCCGTTGAACCCGCGACTCACGCCGACCGGGAAGATCAGCCATGCAAAAACCCGGGTCTACACGCAGCGCTACAGAAAGGAGTGGGAACAAATGTCGGACTTCAAAGGTATATTTCTCTATATATCTCTTTCACCATTCACAACATAGGGTTCTACCTCTCCTTCCTCCCTCCCTCGTTTATCGCTTCTGGTTCTACTTTCCATACCCTAGTCCACTAATAGGTTTCTGGTTTTAATCGGTTTTAATTTCTGTCGTCCCTGCTGCGACGGGGACAGATGTTTTCGTCCGGCTAGGATTATTGCTGACACGTTGGCAGACTGCGGCGGCACGTTCTGTTTTCACTTGCCCGTTTTGATAAGGAGAGAGACTCCGCGGAGACTAGAGACTCAAGTGAGAATCTGTGCATGCATTATGGAACTGCTCGGCAATGGATTCCGATCGAAATTGTTCAATTATTCCCTAGGTTTCTATCGTGTTTTCTAGGGAAAACAAAATAATTTCAATCGAAATTCACTCCGAACAGGCATTCACACTATTTACAGGCATTACAGTCGTTGGATATTGAACTGAATATTTACGATAGTGATGGCGCCAGTTAACGTTTCTGCAAGTTTGCCATACAGATATGACCGTTCATACCAACCGCTGAGACTTTCATCGATAATTTTTTTCTGCAATTAATTACGAACAAAAATTATTATGGATTACCAATATATTGATTCATCAAACTGATAACTTAAAAAAATTGGTCATATATGCGCAGTATCATTTTTATTTTATGTATAGGTTTCATAAGATATGAGTGATTATTTTATCACGCAAGTACATTTTTCTAAAAATATATGAAAAAAGATTTGATGAATAATGAAACAGTAATGAAAATCAAACAAAATCTAGCATCTATAACTTTTCCTATGACCGATTGTACGTTTGTACGAAAATTACATTAAGAATTATAAACAGATCTCAAAGTTTATAATTAATTATGAATACAAAAATTTTTAGAAGACAACCAATCAAACTTTGACAATATATCAATATTTTCTAGAACTTTCAGCACTAGAAAATTATCGAATTCTGGAAATTCTCTAACATTTAAAATTATAATTCTAATAATCTTTAAATATAACATTTAGTTTTGCTATATTTGATCTTTTACGAAAATAGCAGTTGAAGCTGGACAAACTTTTCCTTTGAGAGCTTTAATTACACTGAAATAAACTAGCGTATCAATAATTTTCTTCTTTCTTCTATTACTATTAAAATGAAATATAAATTGTAAAATAAAATAAAAATATATAAAATATATGAAATTGTATAAATTATATAATAAATTATTATGTAATTATATAATTGATGTATAATTATGATAAAAATTTAAATAAATTATATTGATGAGCTTTTGTATATACAGTCTGTCAAGTAAGAGCGTATTCGGGTTAATTTATAAAAAAATTTGTTTAATAAAATTTTCAAATACATATATGCATTGTACTCGATGAGAACAAAGATGCAATTATGTTAGTAATGCGTCTAATCACCACTGGCATCGATCATTGTCTAATATTTCCGAGGCATTTTTCGACCAAATTGACGGCGTATTCTAGCAGCAAGGACGAAATCGAATGAATCTTGCGAGATAACTGATTCAAAGTGAACGTACGCTTATCCACGAAGTTTGTGCCTCGTGCCCATATAGAACATTCATCGATAAAAATTACGTTGCTGAAATTTCGGTCGATGTTTTGCGCGTCCAAACGAGTCGCTTCGTTACATTTTTCAGTCAACAGAAATTTCTTCATTGTGATGCGCCGTTTCAGGTCATGAGCACGGAAATGGGTTCGGATAGTTTCGTACAATATATCTAAACCTTTCTGTTTCAATTTTGCTTGTCTTTGACGCAGTGTTAAGCCAGAATTCTGCGAAAACAGACTTACTATGTTTTTTATCGTCTTTTTTGTCCAATTTGTCTATATCAACCCACGTTCCGATAAATTATCGACATGTTTTGCCACATTACATCGCTGCACCCACTTCTGTACAAATGCTTTTGACTTTCTCATGTATTTAGCAGCCGCTGATTGCGACATTTTCGGACCTTTCAGGTGGGTACATTATAGGAACACAGCCTCGTAGCGCGACGCGTATGGCTGCGTTCCGGAAAGCGCATCATGCGCAAGATTTATCTTTTTATCTTTGTTTAACATTTGATGAACAACAAGGATACCATGATATATCATGCGCATGATGCGCTTTGCGGAAAGCAGCCTATTTGACACACATGAACGCTTACGTGTTTCTCTTACAAAAAATCGAGGACAATTAACTGAATCTTTCTTGATAGTGCATCAAAGACAAAGCTTCTCTTTATCGATTTTATCGTATTTTATAAAAGATTTAGCTTCCCTTTATTGATTTTATTGTATTTTACGAAAGATTTTGGGCGATACCTTTTATCAGTTGTGAGAAAGGCTGAACACGCTCTTGACAGACTGTATGAATAGAATGAATAGGGCAAAGATTATTTTAAGATATTCTTTGCATAATATATTCAAATTCAAATGACATATATGAATATTAGAAGAGTATATTCATATTTCTCCTAGAAAACATAAAGTTGACATATTCGGAGAAATTGTGCAACAAAGAGTTATTATGTATATTGACTTCTATCTTTTCATTCTTTTTTAAATAACTAGAGTTGATTGATAAGAGAAATGTATATACAATGTATATATACATATATAATAGAAAAGCATATTCGTATATTTCTTTTTTTTTTAGTTAATGTTGTTATATGAAGGACAAAAAAGGAGTGTACACACGGTGACCATATTTTCTTAGAGAGAAAATAAAGGATATAAAGGACAAATATTTGAAAATTTAAGGCTTTATTCCTACATGTTTTCAAACCAGACAAACTTGATTTTAATCTGAAATAGGTTCCAAATAATGAAAAATAAAATGGAATCTAATCTAAATAATTTAAAAAAATTGAAAAACATAAGTAATAGAGAAAAAATTATATTTATATGTATACATTTATTTCCTATATTGTTAAAATAAAGGACAAAATTGAGTTCTAATAAAATTAATAAATATAAAGAATGGTTACCTGAAATGAAGGACTGTCCTTTACAATAAAGAATGTACAGTGTATATATACAGGGTGTCACATTTTAATTGATCACATCAAATATCTCTTGAACAGTGCATTTTAGGGAAAAATGTTTCAGACAAAAGTTTCGGGACTTCGAGGGGGACATAAGATGATAACATTGGTTTGACCCTGAGTGGCGTCGCCAAGGTCAGGACAAGGTCATTTTGAATTTTTTAAATGGAACCCCCCCTTTTTCATTACATATTCTTGTAGTACACCTCGAGAGCTTTCCAAAACACATAGATGAAATATTTTTTGATTAAATAAATCTTGAGTTATGAAGCTTGAAAGTTGGAGTACCATAGATCGGAAGAGCACACGTC